ATTATAATTATAGATATAAACTATTTAAACATAATATATTTATGCGGATATTGTTCTATAATCAGAAATACACATGAATGAACACTATCTGTTCAATGAGTGTTCATCTTTGTAGATATGAAAGCTGAAGTATAACGCTAATTCATCTTAACAGCGTTTAATCATTAAACTTTCACATTTGAGATCTAGGCATTTATTCGTTTTCTACAGCATTTCATTGCATTATTTCGTATTTTTAAAATTGCAAGTGAAATTCAGCAAGTTGCGACCAAAAAATAAGCCAAAGTAGTCATTCTGTCATTACTTTCCGAAACAATATTCGTATTCTTTAAAATTTCTTATAAGTACTCTACAAAAATTATCAGAAACATCGTGCATTTTCTTTCTGTTCTATATCAAATACAGTTTCTATTTGATTTTTATTTATGTTTTACTTAAATTACTATTACCTGAATTAATTTTTAAATAATTTCTTTCCGATTCTTTGTAGAAATGGTTGTGGACAAATATTCATAATTTACTGAATTTCTTTGCAAGAAATCGAGTTATTATTAATTTATATTTTATGCACGCAAATTTTAAAAAGTAAATAATTAGAAATCAGGCTTTACAAAGCATTTATATCTTTTAACTACAAACTGTTATTATAATTATTTACTTAATGCCATTTCGTTATTAGATAAGACCAGAAGGATTTCTTCTTTTTAATGTGCTGTAAAATTAACGTATAGCTAAGTATAGCTTTTCATAAAAGTAAAGTATAGCTTTTCAGTTACTGTTTAATTTATCATAGAATGAAATGTCTGTTTCTTTAAAATTATTTTCAATTAAAGGTGCAGAAAATTTTATAATTAACGATACGCATTAGTTTATATACATTTATACTTTCCACACTTTATCATATAAATTCGAACATACGCATATGTACATGGCCATATAATAGAATTTATATTTCCATTTCAGTTTGTTTTGGGATATTAGATAGAAAGAGAAGTATGGCAGAAAAAATAGGCAATATTTGACTTTTGAATGCTAATAATTTTATAGAAAACTATATGCATTTTGAAGGAAATCGATTCGAATTCCCTTTCTTCAAGAGACAAATGTATCCTGTAAATTTCTTTAGAAATACGTCATTTAAATAGAAGAAATAAAACTATTTCAAATGAGAAGTCCGTTTTCGGGATTTCTGTTATATATATAACAAAATATAAAAAGAAAAACACTAAAATAAGACCAAAGCATGTGGTTCAAAATATTTCCGAGACATTCTAAATTATGAACAGAGATATTGAACTATTTTTAAATTAGATTTAACAATTCCAACAACGCAACTGATAGAAGCATGCAAAGAAAGATCTTTAATGTTGCTCTGTTCCCATTACATATTTTTATGTATGTGACTATTTTCCATGCCAAAATTTATGCATTAGATTATGTTCACGTTACATATTTTTTTAATGATGAAGTGAAATGATGCATGAAACAACATTGCATACATACGTAGAGACATTAGGATTTTTTTTTTTCTTTTGGAAGCAAGAGATGAAATTTTCTGAAATTTGCTTAAAAGTAATCGCCTTCGCCGGGAATCGAACCACGGATCTCTGAAATACCAGCTCAGTGTGCTAACCACTACACCACGAAGGTACGCTAGAAAGGTGGGAGAAGCACCTTTTACATATAATACTCCTTTAAAATTTGTACTGAACTGAAATTTTCTAAATTAATAATTAAAATTTGTGCGTGTATTGTAGCCAGCAAAACAGTGCCAGTACATAACATTATAAAATACACAAATGCAGACTTTGTTCTTGAAACGGGCCACCTTTCAATGAAAAATCCGATGAATTTTGCTAATTATTGTTGCATTAATGAAATGTAATTTGTAATGAAACGTAAATTGCATTGTACTTATTAATTGTGCATGATAAAACTCTTGACGATATAATTAAACAAATGAATGATTTTAAAATCACATATACAAGTTCAAGGTAAAATATTTAAGAAATAATAACGAACTTACATTGTTGAAGTTCCATTTTTTTTTCCTCGCGTAGATGTTAACGAATTTAAATAAGGGAATGCACATAAAAATTAGATCAGTCATCATACTTATAATTATTATTACAATAATAACAATCTATCAGGACGCGGGATGGTTTTTAAGTGCAATTATTTTTCTAATAGCTTTAGTCAGTATCATTAATTCCTAATCTTTAAAATGGATCCTCAAAAACGTTTTTCTATTGCGTTTAATAAATCTAGATTGAAAGTTGAGAAAAATTACTAGACAAAAATATCCTATCACGTGACAGTGGATGCTTAAGATCGTCTTCCAGCAGTGCAGATAAACAGCTAACTTAAAATTTAATGTTACAAGATAAGAAAACGGAATACGTGCGTTGCTCCCAAATGTTCCATAAGAGTGTTGCATGATATAAAGCATTCAAAAGTACTTAAATTACATTATGGATGTAAGGGTTTAATAAAATTATCAGCTAAATACATTGTTGCTATAAGTAATACAAATATGAGATTTTTCAACACTTATATATATATATATATATATATCATTGAGAAGTATTGCTTTTTTAACTCTTTTTTATCACACTAATTAGTAATGCAGTGTTATAATTTTGGAAAGATATAAATAAAATAAAGAAAGCAAGTATAAAATCATGTCACAATATTGCTTTTAAATATTTCAACTGTTGCATTGATAAGCAGTATTCGATTATGATTTAAGCGATAAATTAAAGATATTTTTTTACGCTATGAATGGCAATAGCTCTCAAGAGATGATTTTTTTGTCAAGCCACAGGAAGGATTAATTCTGTGACAGCGTAATGTAAGGCGAAAACTATAAACCCCAGACCAGTGGTTCTCAACCAGGGTGGAATTTTCCCCAGGGAGGGAATTTCATAGTTTCAGAGGGGATGCGGTCAGCATTTTATATAGCTGTTAAGTATTTAGTTTTAATTTATGAACATAAAAAACTACTTTTATTCAAGTTTTGGTATTTATCAACATTTGCTATACTTTGTTACGTTTAATTCATAACGCAATAAAAAATAATCTAAGTTTAAATAAATGTATATGTATTTTTCGAGTTCGAGAAAGGGGAGCAATAATGATGACAGGGGTGCATGACACAAAAAAGGTTGAGGACCACTGAAATTTACTATATAAATTTCTAATATGAATATGCATATTTGAGGGAATATGAATCTTTGTCTGGTTTGTTTTTTCTACGAATTCGGAGAAAACAAATCTCCAGAGTTTCCATTTTTGAACTTATTTCCATTAGTTTTTTATTTTACATAACTACTAATTATAGCAATTACTAAACCTGTAGAAATTTCTATAATTAGTTACTCAGTTTAGTAATTTCTATAATACTAGGAACAGGAATTACTAAACCGAAATGAAAGTAATTACTTGGTCGAATATAAAAAGTTTTAACCAACTAACTACATCTTTTAGTAGCTTAAAATTACAGTTAATAAAAAAAATATCCCTCCCCAAAAAGCGTCCTTTGATTACTGACAGCATAGATTAATTAGTCAAACAATTAAGTAATAAAACTTGCAGAGGAAATTTCTTCAAAACGGAACTACATTTTCGTATAAAGTTTAGATTTTAAAGCTGGCAATAATCAAATGGCAAATGGAAGAATTTTCACGAGCAAGTATTTGTAATTTATAAGGCATTTTTACTCAGTTTCTTTGATTTCTAACTTTCGAAGTATGCCCAAGTTACAGTATATTTATTAATTGTAATTTATAAGTTAAATAAAAAGTTTTCGCATCTATCTTTAAATTAGATTCATGCAACTCATTATTATGTTGACAAAAATAATTTCTGTGAATATAAACATGTAACTTTTTAAATCCTCTAATAATATTGATTGATTTATAATTTAGAAATAGAGTATACAAAATTAATTCCATATTACATGAGCAAATAATCATCCCACAATGAAAGCAATGTTTTATATTAGTTACTTCATAATTTTACAAGATAAATTTTTTATTACAGATACAGCTTATATATTTTCAAAAAGCAAAAAAATTATACCATTATATTTAATTATTAATATAAAGGCTACATTTAATGCATTATATAAAAAAGAATACCAGGAAATCAGAAATCATTTACACCTATCTGCAGAAAATTATGCGCTGTCGTTGAATTACTGTAAACACACAACTAAAAAATTATCATTTATATATTTTGAATACAGTATTAAAACTTGTGTAGTCGATTTTCTTATTAATACAACAAACTTAAAATCTTTAAGCATATAGTTTATTTCTAAAAAATATAATAGCAAAACGTCAAATTTAGTGTTAAGGTAAATCCTACGTTGTAATTATTATAATTTCAATGCAAAGCTTCTATACATTGAAATGATAATTTTGATACTGGTTACTTCGCGACTAGTTTTTTACTTTATCAAAGCAAATTTTGAATAATGTCATATGTTATGATTTTTTTTTAAATTTACTTTTTAAAATAACGTTTTTCTTTAAATATTCAAGTAAGCACCAGAAGCAGATACTGCTTGAGGAATTTTGTGTGGAAAATCCCTCAAGTAAAGCAAAGTTATTGACATATTTTCTGAAATTTGTTTGTTTTCAGTATATCATGAAATATAAAACATCTATTAAAGAACCAACACTGTTATAGAAAAATGCATGGATTATCTCAACATTGGGAAAAACCTAAATTATTTACAGTCTTTATTCACAGTTTTGCAAATTTAACTATTGTAGAGTATAATTACACAATACATCAATAACTCATCTCATCCCCCTTTCGCAAAATTGTTTGCAATTATGTTTTGACACATAGCATGCGTGTGTGCAAAAAACCGTTGGTCGATCAACAAGTGTAAAAATCAGCGCACCATAAAGCAATCAAAATTTCATCAGGCTGAAAAGCGAAAGGAGAAAAAGAATCTATAAACAAAAAAAAAGCATCCATCACTTACTTACCTCGGCGTAGGTTGAAGTAGCAGCGCTAATGTCAAGACAGCGGAAGTCCAGCACCAACTGTCACTTTGGCTGAACCCTAAAATCTATGACAAGGGAGAAGAATCAGTAGAGCACAACAAAACCACAGGAACGTACGACTGACACTAGACGACTACTACTACTAAAACTCTCCCTGTTACCATGAAAGCGTGGCAACGAAAACGACGCCCGCCGCTCGTCCGGCTACACGGCCAATAAGCTGCCAGGTGACCGTGACGTCACGCCACTGCGTGTGCAATCAGATGTTCCGAATGAGTGCACAATCTGATTAGTGGCCACGTCCAATAGCGGTCGAAGCCCCGCCTTTAGAAACCACGCCTCGGACCACCCGCCCACTTGACAGTGAACGATACCGCCATCTATTAGGTGGAAAACGTACTGACGGAAGAAGAGAGTTGTCGAGTTGTGATGATTTATTACGGTTTTTGCACTCGTGCAGTTAATTTTGATGATGATTCGGAGTTACGCCGGCGTGTGCGTACAGTTTACTCCCTGACTTATTAGGAGCACTTTATTCTTTCACTCCTTGTGTGTTGAGGAATATTTTTTTTTACTTCTTTTCAATACAATTGACTACTTTTTTTTTTAAAGGTTTTTCAAAAAACGTGAATCTTTTCTTTGCTTTGGCATTTATTTACCTTTTCATTAACTACACAAAAAGAAGATATAAAGTACAGTAAATTCAATTAAAAACTCAGTTGCCAACCGATTTCATGTAATTTGGGGAAAGTGCGATTTTTAACTTTTTAAAATTACGAAGAATTTAAAAACGAAATTACGAAGAATTTATTCTTATTATTGAAATATGAAATTTGAAGCGGCTCGAGTGTCATTCATATTAATTAAATTAAATCATATCAAACATGAATTTTTTTTTTGCTCTACTACCTTAAAATAATTTATATAATCATTTTAGTGAATTATTATTTATAGCAAGAATTTAATTTTATGCCTTAAACCTATTCTAAAATTCCCAATGTAATGCGTTTTCTTAAAAATAGTTGAATTTTCGGATTTTTCTAGCAGTCGAATAGTGTCATACATTCAAATCTTAATGTTTTAAAATAAATTGAATTGGTTATTTTCATTATAATATATTTATTACAGTTGAAAAATCTCCAGTAAATTAGTTTTGGACTTGGAGCTGAATTAATAACAATTTTTATTGCTCTTAAAATTCTAATGGTTCGAAATTGCGTATCCCTTAAATCTTTTACCGGACACCTTTATTTTGAATAATTTGGCAATGATAATATTTTTATTTTTATTTTTTAACAGATGGAAGCAATGTTATTATCGATTCGACTTATCTATAAAGTTCTCTTCTTCTACAAATAAAAACTTACGCAGCCTTATAGTTGGCAGTTGACTCACGCGACATGACAAGTTTTGCTATTGAAGCGGCTAAAGAACTTTAGTTTTATATCATCCCGTCTTGGCAAATAGCCAATTGTTATTCCATGGGGCAACTGGCTCTTAATTTATCTTTCAGACTTTTCACATTTATTCAAAATGGTAGCTTTAGTTGCCTAACAAATAGTCTAGAAACAATAAACGAATATTTTGATATTTATATCTTTATTTCATTTCTTTAGTAACTTCCTTAGCATTGGTGTGAATTCAGTTGTGAGAATATGTTTCAAACGTCAAATAATGCTACACAGGTGCACGTGAATAGTTGTTAGCTTGAAGAATTGAATATTTCAGTAAAACGTGATCTCCAGTGGTTATTGATTTCTAGTCGCTGTGCTTAGAATAATACTGTAAATGCTCAATGTAATTTAATTCTGTGCATTACCTTGTACGCTCAAGAATATTGTAGCGAGAATAAGGGAATTATTAAAAAATACGAAATTCAAATTCTCAAGAAAAGTTCGTAAAAAACTGCAGGAAAAAACATTAAACTGAAAATTTTGAATTGCAGTGTAGCCCCTCAAAGATATGCTTACAATAAAATATTGCAAGATGCTTTAAAAATATTAAAAAATTACAGAAATGTAAAATTTTATTAAAAATAAATAAATAATATATGATTCCTATTTTAATATAAACGTAAAACACTTTAATCTTAATAGTTGCTCTAGTACAATGGTTCCCATCCTTTCGCTGACTGCCGAAAGGCCCGGGTTCTAATCCCAGAGAAGGATAAATGGATGTAAATGTATAGTGTTCGTGCGACATGGGGCACTCTAAATATGTGGCGAACCGAAAGTCATCTCGAGATGTTGATGGTGTAGGGGGAAGAGGGGTGGGACCCTTGGAGGACTCCCCGGGGAGGAAATTCGTAAAAAACATGTCTCCCTAGGGTGAAAATTCGAAAATTTTTGATGACTCATCAAAACTGGAAGAGGTGAACTGAGCTAAATCGCACTGTCACCTGCAAATTGCTCAAATTTGTTGCTCAAGCCAACGACAGGCGTAAACTTGCGCTCCTGCGCTTGACTATGAGTCAGACAAGTGAGGATTCAACAACAACAAAGTGCGCGTACCCTAATATACGCATATGTAATACTCCTAAACGAAATATTTATTTGTAGGGTACTAAAAACTAGAAATTAGATTATAAAAAATTCCTAAAAGAGGAATCGAATAATTAATTTACATAGTTCTTCCTTTTTAGTTGCCTAACATTGCTACTTTTCACTGTAGTTATGGAAAGATAACAATTAAGCAATTCCAATATAGTAAAAAAAATATATATATATATATATATATATATATATATATATTAAATTACGAATTTTAAATGATTAACCCGTAACATATTTTTACTTACGGAAATAGTAATAAACAAATAAATAAATAAAATATACTGTTTCAAACAACATATACAAATTTATCCCTAAAGCTATTACCGTATTTGACGGCATATTAGACGCACCCTTATTTAGAAGGCCACACACAAGGAAAAATAGTTTCAATAGTCCACAATAACTTAAAATGTGATTTCTTTTAGTTCTCACGTTTCGTAAATGCCAAATAAACAATCATTGAATGCAATTACCAAACATTTTTTTATTAAGGAAAATTACCGAAATGCCTTGCTGAAATTACCGAAGTGCTGCTTGTGGACCGAAATGCCTTGCTGCTGCTCTGCTTCCATGCAATTTGGCGTAGTTTAACACTCCTAGTTTATATTGAATTGTATAGCTTAATCTCTTGTTTCCTGCAGTCATATTTTCCAGGGTATTTTTTTTTAAACAAATAGTTTTAAGCACCGATACCGACACGTTTATACAGAGTAGCACCGATACCGACACTTGTGTCGGCTGAGTCAAAGAAAGTCTATGTAAAGAAGGAAAGGCTCCATAGACGTAATGTGACCGTGGAACCTGTTCGAACTGCGACATCAGCTTCGAGCTTTGGCGCTTTTTGGCGACAGATATTTCACGCATGCGCAAAATAATTATGACAGATGTAGAAAAAGTTATGTGTCTAGACATTTATCCGGGCTAAAAATAGCATTCACTATTGAAAAGTCAACCTGTGTCCTTCACGTATAAAGACGCAGGTAACTTTTTTGAGACCACATTTAGGAAAAAAAGTGCGTCTTATATGCCGTCATATACGGTAAAAGTAGCTAATAGGATACCCCACTAATAGGATTACAGTGGCTGACATTTCGATATTAGCAAGTCACTATCTGGCTAAATTTTGCGGGAGTAACCTTAATATTTACTTTTTGTATAATTATCTTCAACTTAATACATCAAAGATGAAAAACTAAAAAGGAAATTTTAAAATAAAAGATTTAAAAAAATTAAAAGACTTTTAAACTGGAATGAAAATTAATACTTTTTAGTCCAAAGGGATTTCAGTCCCGAAGGACTATTGCATTCGTTTTGGCATTTTGCGTCGGACTCATAAACGTCGGTTCACTTTTCAAACTGTTGCCACAAAATGTTAGAGTTCTGCATTATATTTGAAGAAATTAAATAATGAAAAATCTGCATAAATGATTGTCTATTTCTCGCATTGTGATCAAACAATGGTACATAGAGCCATCGAATTTTGACGAAATCCTACTGCGAATATGGGCATCTGAAATCCCAAATTTGGAATTTGTTTTATTATAGATTTATATTTGTAAAACTTTAACGAATTTTTTGATTTACAACTCAATGCTTTAAAAGCGAGAAATGCAACGTTATATAGAAAAAAAAAAAAAAAAAACTTTTATCTCCAGCTCGCGACTGTGTATATCGGAAATTCTAAAAGATACATTATTTTGCGATTATTCTTGAACTGAATTTTATGGTTTAGTGCAAAGAACATGATATTTATAAATAAAGGTAACACTCAAAACGTTAAAAAAACCCCCTTTGGACGTAATTTTAAAAATCTGAAAAATTTCAGATTTTTTTTTTTTTTTTTAATTTTTTTTTGGAGGAGGTTCAACTGTACCAGTGCTCACCCAAGAAGTGCTTAAATACTTTAATATGTTGTTGGTACTTACGGAAACATAGTTCGCTAGAACAATAACGTTCAATGGCACAAAGAGTAAATTTTACCACAACGAATACTTAATACTTTCTATACAATAAAACGACTACCTCTGACTGACTGATTGTTTCTATATGAATTGTTGCTTAAATAATGATTTTGTCTTCGGGAATTTTCTATGCACAGGATCCGAGCGGTAAAGTCTCTGAACGCGGAAGTCTCTGAACACTAGTAGTGTGGTCCGAGGTTCGAATTACGCGAACGGGCTGGCTGCATGGGTGTTTTCGTGGTTTTCCTCATACGTAAGGTGTATACGAGCCAGTTTTTCTTAGAGAGTCCTCCACGAAGACATCCTTCCCCATAGCCAGATAGTTCCCAAGGCTTTGTCGTAATTACAAAACTTCCTCTCCCCAAAAACAGTTAAGATTGCAAAATATAGGGGTGTCTTCTCACCATGCATTTCTGGGCTTTTCCATGACATTATTAGCCGAAGGGATTTTAGCTCAGAAGAGCTATTAGTCTCAGAGGCTATTAGGCTGTTAGTCATTGTATTATCTTTAAATGGCATTTTCCATCGAATCACTAAAAGCGTTGAATCACTTTTCAAATTGTTGCCACCAAATATTCCCGCTCTGTATTATATTAAAAGA